ATTACTATTGTTTATTCTGACACCTCTTCTTAGCGACTTTTCAACCTATAGCTCCTCGAATCCAATGACATTATAGCTCCAGACTATTTCATTCTATTCTATTATTATCTTATTATTATATGATCTATTATCTTAAAGAGTAGATCTGTTTGATGTTATAAGCGCTATTATTTCTCCTTTTGAATTTGCACAACACTAAATTTAGAATGACCCCCTATGGGACAAATAAAGAATTTTATTTCATTTTGGCAACTCTGAAAATTACTTAATAATTTTCCCATTTTGCTTTTTAGACTGCCCTTTTCTATTATGTATTTGGTCTTGTAAATATATGTTTTACACTTCTTTCTAATGATTTAGAAGGTTAAGGACCATGACCACCTATGACAATACAATACTATACTCCCCTCTGTTGGTCGTGGTCCAAAGTATAAAACGTGCATCTGTATATGTGTGTAGATTACTGTTCCAATCATCTTCAGTTGTTCCTCCCGGATCGTCCTCAATTCATATTGTGGGCTTTGGTGCCATAGTAGAGGCTCATTTCCTCATGATCCATACTACTGTCATCCCTGAAGCAGGTGCAGTTTATCTTTAATCTGAAAAAGAAATATTAGAACACAAGAAATGCCCACTTCCCTGGCTTTTAGCGACCTGTCAATGTTTTCCAATTGGGGCAAAACATAACTGCATTGACAGACGGTGTGTGACATCAGGGCAGAGGTTGTAGCCAAATACAGACTTAACAATATGTATGTTTCTAATTTTATACTCCCCTAAATGTGAGTTACAAACCAAAGTTGTCCTCTGCCCAATGACCACTCACTGCGGTTGGACCGAATCACTGTCCGGACAAACAGCAGAGGGAGGGACTCCCAGTACCTTCAGCAAGGTATTCATCTCAGAGTACTTTCCGCAGAGTACTTTCAGCAGAGTACTCATCCCAGAGTACTCTCACTTTTACACCTGTTCAATAAAGCTTGTTATCTTTGAATCTCTAGTACTTACACCGTATGCTGTTGACAAAAAATAATTATTCCATGATCACATTAAAACATTACAGAAAACATTTGTTATTCCAGGATTCCGTTCAGCACTCCTCGTTCACTCCACAACACACTCACAACACACTCACAACACACTCGCATCACTCACACAGGCCGACTCCCCACGTTAGTATTTTGGTCCAGAGTTTGTTAAGGTCAACGTAGTGTACTTGACATGACGCACAAACATATAACATACACAAACATATAACACACACAAACATATAGCACACACAAACATATAACACAGAAGGCCTGTAATTTTGACTTTGTTATATTTTTCCATGTCCAATTACAATTGTCTCATGAGCTATTTCTATTGTTGCAACTTTCAGAGCCTGCAGAACATGCAGCGCTTTAAAAGATTTTTCCTTAAAAGGATCCATTTCAAACTTTAGTGTTTAAACCACGTGGTCTTTACTCGGGCTTATCACAGACTGTGTCCCCTATATTTTTAATGAGCTCTTGTTACTTAAAAAAAAACTCGTGCACGTGCAATAAATGTTTTTCCCTTTTTTTTTTTTTTTTTTTTTTTAAAAGCCAGTTTGGATTCCTTAAAAATTTAAATTAGTTTCAAACTTTAATACTTCACCTTTGTTTCACGTTCATGTGGAGAAAAGACCATTGTCCTATGTGTGTTGTTGTACTTGCACCAATCATGTCTCAAATAAACTTCCAACAGTTATATTAAAGACATGACTGTCCTAATTATTTCTAATTTAGCTATTTGGAAGAGAAACATGTCATAAAAGATTTCATAAAATGTCCCTACATCCGTGTTTTCAACCAATGAACAGTGTTGCGTCAATGTGTTATCAGAAATGATCCAAAATCACCTTTAGCCAAAATTTAGAAATGCTTTAAATCATTTTTCAAACTTTAATTGTCTGAACAAACCATTTTGTACTAAATGCAGCGTCCATTAAAAGCTGCAGTTCTCTTTCTAGCACCAGTTTCAACTGTGCATGTGACTGTTTTTAAATGATTAACGAGCCACGGTTCAAAGGTTGAAAACACTGCTTTAAATATCCGTATTACCAAGATCATGCAGTCAAAATCAATAATTCTAAACTTCTCCGCGTCTATAACTTTAAATAATAATACTAGTTTCAATAATAGAGCTCCTCTACTTTAAATATACTGCTGTTCTAATCTCCTTGTGTCTCATGCTAAAGCAAGAGTCTAATTAGTTTTAACGATTGTCCTGTATTCTTTTCATGCAGCTAAATGTAGTGTTATGAACGAATGACCTAGTTAAATGTGTAAATATGACTTAAATTCCATATGTCTCTGTGCGCTTGTTTGTCCGTATATATTTACCTTCTGTCTGTCTCATTTGCCCGGCCACGTCTTCTTCTTATGGCGTCTTTCAGTGTCTTTTGTCTCAAAGTGTCCAATGTCTTTGCCTCAATGCCTTTTTTCCTTCTTCTTCAAACAATCACTTTCTTTCTTCTTCTTTCAATAATCACTTTCTTTCTTCTTCTTTCAATCACTTTTCTTTCTTCTTCTTTCAATGACTTTCTTCTTCTTTCAATCACTTTCTTCTTCTTGCAATGTCTTTTTCTTTCATGTCTTCTTTGTCTCATTTTTGACGCACACCAATGTGTCGTCCTTCGCTTGGTTTACACAACGTTCCTCTCCGTGCACATAACTCCACTCGGTTTGTGCAAAAGTCTGGTTCTTCTCCATGAAATGGAGGCCGGAGAGGTCTTCTTCGAGAGTTCCTGTTAGCTGCTGCAGCCGATGCTGCAGTCTTTGGTCCCCCCTGTGGGTGAAACGGGGGAGACGCAGATGGTCCGTGCTGATGGCGCTTGATGGTGGTTTGTGGCCGAGACGATTTTGGGCAAATGAACCAGACAGAAGTTTTCTCGGAAAAAACAGACAAACAAAAAACACAAACAAGTGTGTTAATTACCATACAAAACCAATGATTAATTACAAATCTAAATAACCCTATAAAATAATTAATATTCAACATTTTAAACATTAAATTCTGAAAACCAAATCTGCATTCAACTGCTATCCTGAGCCCTATTTTTCCAAAAGTATAATGCTCTCTTGGAGTATAATGCCTTGGAGATAAAAAATAAAATAATGCCTCTTTATAATCTAACTCAAAGTTCTGTGATCCTATGACTCCATGTCAGTAACATTATAGAGAGAGAGAGAGAGAGAGAGAGAGAGAGAGAGAGAGAGAGAGAGAGAGAGAGAGAGAGAGAGAGAGAGAGAGAGAGAGAGAGAGAGAGAGAGAGAGAACAGAACGAGGGAGGGGAGGGGCCTCCCGAACAAAGGAAGCATGGAGTCTGAAATACTTTCCTCGTTTTTCTCGTGACAAAGTTTTAATCAGTGGTAAAAGTTTTTCTCACGTCAAACGACACTTTACATTTTATCCTTAAATACGTCAGTAATGGAAAACATTACAATTTGACCAATGCATCACTAGGTACAGTCGGATCTTTTTTTTTTTTTTTTTTTTTTTAATACCTCTGTAACTATTGAAACATTACATCAGAATAAGAGAAAAACTTCCATAACTGATCATTCTGGTCATTTCTTCACATGGAAACTCGTATACTACAGCCAAGAGGCTCTCTTTTTTTTTTCCTCATTAATCAGATCATTATTATCAGAATCCATATTTTAAATACTTGGCTTTTTTCTTGCTTAAATGTAATTTTTCCCGCCCCCCGGGGGATATGGAGTTTTCATTATCCTATAACTTCTGACCCTAACTGTCCCTATTTTCTAATCCTATTTCTCTAAACACTTGTGCCTCTTTTGCACTCTAAACGGTGTGCCTCTTCTGCACTTATAAACTCTGTGGCTCTTTTTCATCATCTATGTTCTGTTTTTTTTTTGGAGGGACCAATGCTTCCCCCAAGGTTAAAACGTCTAAACCTGACTATTGTTCTATCGCGTCCGATAGAACACCCCGTCACGGCGGTCGCCTGGCCACGCTGCAGTCCGTCGAGCCGAATTCTCTCTCTCTCTTCCATTTAAAACAATGTGCAGATTTTCAAAAGTAACGATCCGCTTACCTCTTTCGAAGAGAAGAGAGAAGAGAAGAGAGAATTCTCCCGGCCCACGGACCCAGTCTATATTTGAGCTCATCTCTGTCTTTCTTCTGCACCATCACGTCGGGTTTCACCAAATGTAGTCAATAATTCCCTTTGACTAACGTGTTTCAAAATGGATGCAGAAGTAAGGCAAACGATCTTCAAGTTTAACATCTGCATTTAATTATCTTTACAATCAGATACAGAATGTTCAACAAAAGTGCTCCTATTCTATGCCTGCTCTTTCCCTGTCCGTTGCCCTGTCCTGTCTGACCTCAAAACCCTCCGAGGGCACAAATACCGGAGACTTCCGATGACGTCATCCATACGCGTCCAAGGGTGGAGGTTTCCGGGTGTGCTGACGTCCCCTATCCACTGGGAGGCGTCAGAATGCAGTTGGTGAATCTCCCAGTCTGCCTCAAGATCAGGTTCTGAACTTTTGTCCTCGTCAAAATTGTTTATTATTTTTAAAGTTAATAATTCGCCCTGTTTAAACAGCATTTTATCTTTATGACTCATGTCTGATTATCCTGTGTCCTTGGGGTTTTTCCTGAGTGCACAACGGACCCCTAAAAAGAAACCAAAGAGAAACCTCCGCCAGCGCGGCAGAGCCAGAAGCAAGAAAAAAAGAGTAGACGAAAAGGAATAGCATAACAACCTGCGAATACCGGAAGGAAAAAGGAGTGAAGGGGAGAGACAGTACAGGGACAAATAAAGAAGGAGACGGACGGCCCCGGGAAGCGAAGAACCACGAGCAAGTGAATGCCCACCCGAACGAAAAATTCCCACACATGTGGAACAACGATAAAGAAAGGACAACAAAGGCACAAAGAACAGAAAAAGGGACGCAAGGAACTAGGAGAAACGGCACGAAGTTGAAGGGTCGCGAAAACAAAGGCTAAAAAAAGACTGGAGACCACGACTCGAAACGATAACAAACGCCTACACCGGACGGGCAAGGACAAAAGGCCGAGAAGAGGGCCGGTGCAAGACAAGACGGAAATTCCGAGCCAAAGAAGCCCTTAGTCCTGCAGCTGACGACCACAGGGAAAATCCAGAAGCACCGAAGAAGCCTCGGGCGAACAAACAAGATAACACAAAAAACGGAAAGACGCCCACACAACCAAAAGCCCCCCAACACAATTAGAATGACAAAGCTGCCCGTGCACGTAGCAACTGCTCCACAGAGATAGAAGGAGGACGTAATCGGGGGCATCACAAGCAACTGGCGCAGAAAGGAGCCTTCTCCGTCGGTTTCGTGCTCGTCCCACACGCTGAGGCCAACGGAGCCCATGGTGGGGGGGGTCGCCCCCCCGAAGCCCCACCACCACGGCCCGAACCGCGCAAACGCACCAATAAGGAACAAGAGCCCGGGACGAGATAAGAACCAAACAGGGAAAAGAATGAGTCGATCGCCTAACCGTCAGGGGTAAGAGGCGGCAGGGAGCGGAAACAAATACCCACCCACGAGACTGAAAGCCCGGAAGTCGCGCCTACCCAAGTCATCGCTAAGAGAACGAGCAGGCGACGTCAACCGCCGACATAATAAAAGGCAGGAAAAAACCACAAGGGAGCCGAGAAAACCCACCTGCGAACAAACTGCGTCTGACCAACACCGGCCAGAAGCGAAGCGGAACGACTACAGGGGAGGAACGCAAGACCCGGTTGCGCCAGAAGCCTGCCCACAAACCCGCGTGGGAGGAACGCAGAGACTAAGACATAACAGACAGGCAAACAAAAACCGGTCACCCACCGAAACGAAACACCGCGCCAAGCAGGGGGGGAGAGCCAAAGGAAAGTCCACAGGAGGAGAGCGCAGGCTACCTAAGATAGCCAGGCCGACAAAAAAGAAAAAAGAGAGAAAAGAGAACGGGGGGACGCCACAGACGAGGAAAAACGTTTGCGAGACTCCGGAATAAATGAAGCGGGCCCCTCCGAACTCTGGTTGGGCGGATTAGACGGGGGAAGCGCGCAGACGACCCCGCAGGCCCAAGCCAAGCAACAGCGGGGGTATCCAAAGAACCTAGTGATGCGGAATCCGAAAGAGGACCAGGGGGGACACATACGGCACCGCCCTAAACGGCAGCAGCGAAAGGATAAAAGAAGGAAAGGAAAAGCCCGTTATGTAACAAGAAATTGCAAGAAAACAGGAATAGACGAAACTAGAAGAGGAAACCGTAAGGGCAGTCGCCACAGAAAGCCCACAGGCGCCCATGCACACGTAAGCGCAATGGACGTCCGCGGGAGGTAGAACACACCAAACAAACTAACAGGATGAAAAGCACCCACACGAAATCGGTCAGTCGAAGTACTAAAGGGGGAAAAAAGAGGAGACATGCGCCAAAGGAAGACAAAAGAAAGGAGGGCGTACAAAGCGAGCGAAAAAGCTCGGACGGGGAAGAGTGATAGACGGACCCGCTGACGCAACCTTACATGAACAGGGGAAAACGCCCGAGGATCAACCCCTTCGACCCTGAAACCAACACCACACTCACAGGATGAGCCACGAGGAAAACAGGTGTGAACTGGGGGCAGCTCCGCCAAACGCCGCCGGCAGCCAAAATGTGCACACCCTCCCCATGCCACGTCCCACCACCGCTCCCAAAATCGCCCCGCCCCCGCGCACCAGCAGGACGCCGGCCAAAGTGTCAAGCATAAAACACCAAAAACAACACAGATCCTGAAAAGCACGCCACGGAAAAAATCGGGCCCGGCTCCATGCCCCCGCCCGCCACCCTCGCCCTCACCACGCTAGTCAGCCCAAAAGCCCGTCACCCCCCCCCCTGCCCGCCGACCAAGAAAACGCAAAGGCATGGAGTTAGTACATGAGCAGAAAACCCACGGTTTCACCCCTGGCCCCAGGCGGCGGACTCGGCGGAGAGAGATCCGCGAAGGCCCGGTAAATCACGGCAAACCCAAACCGTGCGTAACACATCACCCAGGCCGTGACGCCAAGCATCCCCCAGACCACCCCCAGCATTAAGAGGGCCACGCGAGCATCACGTCCCACCCACACATCTAAGCAGCCAGAACGAAACACGCCGACACAGGACAGACAGCCGCAACATGATCAGGCCCGAGCGAACAAGAACCCCTGCCTAGCAACCCCGACGAGGCGACGACCCCAAACACACCACCCTCACCAAAAGAGCCGGCACCACGGACCGGAAGATGAAGAAACACTGAACGTTAGCACGCAAGGGGTAAGGAGTCATTCGGAGGGGCCCGAACAGGCCTACCAAGCACGGCCTCTGTCCCACCGAGAAGCACGGACCCCGCTGCTCCCGTCGCCCCCACCGATCCACACACCTAACGCTCAGAGTCCAACACGAGCTCGCAATCCCTACCCGAGGGAGCCACCAAAGACAGCCGCCTTGAAAAAGCAAGGCAACCGACCGGAAGTGTAAAAACGGGGCGCCAACCATGCCAAAGCAGGACAAAACGAACCAGAACCCCATGGAACAACCGCCCCGCAAAATAAGGGAACCACACCCGGCGACGGAATTTCAACGTCCCCCGAATGGGTACAGGCGAAGAGAGGCTCCCACGGGCTACAACCCACGCCCCACTCATCGCGGGCCAAACGCAGACAGGTCCAGGGGGCCCGAGAGCTGGCCCGCCATGGAACGGAGACGGGGGGGGTGGAGGGGTGAGAAGACGCACGGGCGAAAAAGGACAAAGAAACATGGACGGGACTCAACAGCACGGGGGGAATCAGGGGCTAAATAATCGACAAAAAAAAGGCCAGGCGTCAAACCCACACCACACAAGGGGGGACGTGGGACAGTGGAGATGTGTCGGGGGGGAGCCGAACAGGGGGGCGTCTGGGGGAACAGACACCGGTAGAATAAAAGGCATGAACCCGCCGACAGGAAAAAACCGAAAACAAGCCAACCAAAAAAAGCCACGTAGAGAGCGGATGCCGCGGGCTAAGGTCACATGCCTGAAGCCAGCAAAAGCACGCAGCGACCACGGTGGTAGTGATGCATGCACTCACCCCACAAGAAGCAATGCCAGCACGAACAAAGGGTTGCCCACAACGATGGACGGCGCCAAACCCCTCAGGAACAAAGGCGGCCACCCCCGCCGCAAGGCCAGCCGCTTGCAACTTAGGCGACCGTCACACAACCTGAATCACGCCGTTCAAGGAGAAAAAGAGGAGAGCCGGTACAGTACTGGACTGCAAGCTAAAAAAAAAGACAGGAGCACTACTGAACAAAAAGTAGAGGCCAACGAACCGCACGAGACGAGACCCAGGAGAACTCCAATCAAAAGCTACACGGAGGCCAGGGATAGAGTAACATACAAGGCCGAAAAAAAACAACTAAAACCCAGAGCCGCAAACCAGCGAAAGAAGGGGAACATGCACCACACCGGGCCACAAGGACTGATGCCAGTCCAAAAGTGCGAGAGCACCCCAACGGGGCACCCAAAATGCTCGACGAAGAACGCGAGCGTGCCTTAAATACAGGAGAGCAGGAACTGGTCGATAGTAAACCACATAGAACGACAATGGCAAAATACAAACCCCGCTAATACTGGGAAAGACAGAAGCCACGAGCAAGCTGCCGGGAGGCACTACCCCACCACGGGAAGCCCCCGGGAAAACCAAAACGAGAGGAGACGCCCCACAACGGCGATGCACAAGTAAGTTCTTGCGAGGCGCCACCCCGGACAAAACACGAGGCACAGAACTGGACAGGCACAGCAACCCGCAGAGCACGACCCGGAATACACAGAAAAACGGAATAGAAGACAAGACCAAGCGCAGCCACCTCAGCGCCCCGAGATAAGCTGAAGCGGGCAAAGAGGGATGAAGAACAGATAACGAGCAAACGACAGCGAGCCGGTACAAGAACCCGCAACAAGAATCCAAAATAGGCTCGCCCTAACCGAAGTAGAGACGGGCAACCAGGGCATAAACCGGGCCGGCTAGGCCAAACCCCAAAAAGTCGCCGAGAGTAAAAAAAGAAAGCGGGGGGGCCGAACGGCCCCCCGCTCCCAGAGTTGAACCCGGCAACAAGCTGTAAGCCAGTCGCGCACGGATAAAACACGACCGGGGGGGGGGGGGGGGGGGGTCAACGGAGCCACCACTCAAAATCAGGGAAGACCAAAGGGGAAGGAGCGCGGAGACCGGGCCGGTATACCCCAGCCCCGCCAAACGGCATTACTGAGAAGCTCCGGCGACACACGGCCCGCCACAAGCGGCACGCAGACCTCAGTTAGGGAGGTAAAAAAAGTAAAGACTGAAACGCAAAGGGACGCCAGGGGGTGGCTGGCACAGCGGTCAAAGGGTGGAAAAGGCCGCAAGCGAAGGAGTAAAGAAACCGCGTGTATGACCAGGGCAACGACTCGCTAAAGGAAAACAACCAACCCCGAGGAGAAGACAAACAACGCCGGAAAGAAGCGCCCGGCCTAAGGCCAGAATAATAACCGAGACAAAGATGGGGAAGCAACCACGAAGACGAGGACGTTCAGGCGATACTCACCCCGAGACCTACACCACGGTTCAAACGGAACGGGCGCCCCCCTCGTCCAACACACAAACAGCCCCCAGTAGACGGAAATTCTCAAACGCAGGCATCAAACGGGGCGAACCAGTGGAGCCACAAGGAGGCATAGGGGGTGAAAATCCAAACCACTCGAAAATGAAAAAGACAGGACAATAGACAACAGAAGAGGAAGGACTCAGAAGCACCAACCACGGTGACAGCACCGAGCAAGCCAAGAGCACAGCCAGGCAGCCCGACGTACGCCCGGCAAGACGAAAGCAGACGAAAGCGAAAAACCCTGAGTCGGGGTGGAGTGTGACAGGAACACACGGGAGCTTGCCTGCAGAGCAAAACAAAGCGTACTTAGAATAAGGGAAAAAACAAAGGACCAGAAAAACGGACGAGCTGACAGGAAACAAGCGCACATACGCAAACGAGAGAAGGAGCAACATGGAAGTGAGGATAAAAAGATGAAAGAGACAGTCAGACCCTGCACAGGACCAGCGAGCGCCAGAATCTCACGGCGGAGCAAGGAACCGCGCACCGGTGATGCGGAGGAGAACGAAACACGAACAAAGAAGCTGCACCCCCAGATAAATGCCGAAGAACAGCAAGGCTAGCGGCACAAAAGAAAAGGAGGCCGCGAAGCAGATCAGAACCCCCAGAAAAACGCGGAAAGGGGATAAAGGGAAAGAAGAAAAAAGCAACAGAGAACTACGATAGAAGCCGAAACTGGGGACCGACAGGTAGCGAGCCAAGAAACGCGCATACGCGGTTGCAGGAAACCGCCCCACAGGCCGGGAAAGCGTAGGAAATAGAACAACGCGAAAAGACTAAAGCCACGACGAGAAAAGATGCCAAGTCGATAGTGGGGCGAAGGGGAGGAGAAGGATCGGCTCCCACCATCAAGAAATCACCCTACATAATAAAGCTGGAGGCGTCCGCGGAAAGAGTAGCACAAACAAACCCCAGGTAACAGCAACACACCTCCACCACACCGAGGAGAGGGGTGCAAAACCGGCTGCACGGCAAGAGCCTGTGGACCCCCACTCACTTATTGAACGTGGCAGTCACCACTCCACCGCGCCGTCCCTGTAGCTTACCCTCCCCCTAAGAACTCCGATGCTGCTGCCCCCGCCCGTACGGCCGTGCGCACGACCGCTATACCGCATCCCACCCTCTCTTTATTCCCCTCCTCCATTTTCACCCCCCTTCTCACCTCCCCCTCTCTCCTCATCTTTTCCCACTACACAACCCCCACTCGCCCCCCCAGCAACAATACCGCCAAGCACGAGCACGGTCATACTGCAGCACACACTTCTCCCAACCCGCCACCTTGGGCGAGGGGTCCCGCCGGCACGGACTAACAAAGAAAATTATGAAGGACCCCCAGCCACCGGGAATAACAAGATACTCCCTGGACAGAAACGGAGGAAAGTATAAAGACACAGCACACGGCGCTAAAACCGGGCCCACACCGGGGGGCAGCGCAGAGCTAGAAAATAACCGGCCAGACCCAATCAACACAGAGACAAACTGGGGGGGCGGCGATACGCAGTTGCCAAAGAGCTGTCGACCGGCCGCGATTCCAAATAACGAGCGACCCACCGGCCATTACACAAAGGCCACAAAAGCATTATCGCGGCTCGTGGCAGAACGAAGTACAAACCACCCTCCCGCATAGCTCTAACCCGGTGCGATGCGAGGGACCACCGGAGGACGCCACGGACCAAGCCACCGCCTCAACGCCCCCCCCGCACAATCACCTGCGCGTAGGCAGAAGGAAGCAGCAGACGGACCAAACCGGCAAGAAAGCAAGCCATGAGGGCCGGGAGACGGAGAGCCCAGATGGCGACTGCAACCCTCGGCAGGGCGCGCAACCCGCAGCCCCCGACGGACCCTGGGCCCACGGACGTAACCAGACGCACGATAAATAAAGGGCAACAAAGGCGGGGCCCGCAGCGCCGGGAACCGCCCCGCACGCAGCTAACACGCGGGAGCCCAGACAGACGCTTACCAGGCAGGGAAACGACCACACCAACACACACCGGCGACGAGAGGACGCCGCCGCCGCGAACGCACGGTACACCTCCCAGGCCACAACCCGCCGCCTCAGACTCGAAGATGGCCTTCTCACCTCCAAACCTGCCCTGCGCATGAATACCCCAATCACGCGCGCACCGACAACGATCAACCCCCGGAATCTAACGCGCCATTACCCCCCAGCGCCACAGAACGCGCACCCCCCCGCACGGCACCGCCCCACAGCGGGGTAGACGCCACCGGAGACGGCGAGCGGCAAAAAGACATAAGCAATGTCCAGCGGAGACATGAGCACCTGCACAAAAGCATGACGACCCAGCGCAACCGAGAAGAGTAACCGAGGGAGCAAGGTACCATCTATTCTGCAGCCCACAATCGACTAAGGGCCCTACCCAGGCGTCCCCCCGACCTGGGAGAGCCGCCACCTCCCCCCCGGTACCTAATCAACGCACCGCCACCGGCCCCGCAGATCCTGGAGCGGGGAGCCAAACCACCGACAGTACTGGGCGGAAGGCACCCGCTGCCGCTGCAGCCCTACCCCGCCTCCCTGCAGCCGGGACAACCCGACCGGCGCCACGACCGGCCCGTTCCCCAACGGCTCCCCCACACAGGGACCTACTGACGGGTCAATCCAAAGCACCAAGGACCAAAGCCCCCTACTGCGGACGGCTAACAACAGGGGCAAGAAAACTTCACGCGACTCTGGAGGGGATAGAATGGAGCGATGGCGAGGAACCCGACAAAGCCTGCGAGGAGGAGAACGAAACCACCCATAAAAAGCCAAGCGCGGGACCATCGGCCGCCCACTCGGAGCGCGCCTAGCCCCCCCTAAACCGAAAGGACGCTCGGCACCTACAAGATGCACTAGGAACGGCCGCGTGTTCGCATAACGTCCGCAGCGCACGCGGCCGAGCACTCGACATAACGGCAATACCGCAAGGATTACCCCTAGATCGCCACGGGCTCCAGACCCCCCAATCGTCACAACCGTACCGACTCGCACCGCCAATGCCTCCTGTCGTTAGCAAGACACCTGCCACCCCAGCAGAGACAACGCACCAACGATCCCCCGCCCCAGACCGGCACAGGATCGGTCGTGAGGGCCAGCTGTATCAGACGCCCCACATCGACCACGACACCCGCGGCTCACCCCGAACAACGCCCAAAGACCACCAAGCCCCGGCGTCCAGCGTCGGCCGTGCCTCCCTCCCCCAGTCCACCGTCCCTCCCTCAGCCCTTGCGGCGCCGCCAAGCTGCGACACGAATAGACACAACGGTCACTCCACATGCGCAAAGGCAGGTGACGGACCGGAGGGCCGTCTCGCCTATCTGTTGACGTCCCACACCTCCAGACACAGGCCAAATGCCAAGGCCGCGACGCAAAAGGAACACCCAACCTAGGAAAGCTAACGGCGCAGAGAGCAAAGACAAAGCAAAGACAGCTACACGGAGAGCGAGACATTCTCACCGGCCCGCGCGGGACGCAGACAGGCAGTAAGTTCTGTAAGCGCACCAGCCAAGGAAGAAAAACGAACCACACCAGAACCAGGAGCGGCATAGGAACAACAAAAAACCCCCGCGATACCGGACTGCCACAGGTCAGAAGAACACCAGCGCCAGGAAGCCCCACCGGAGGGCCACCGCGGGACTCCCCGGAAAGGACCACACCCCACAAGAGGTGAAGAGAAGAGCACAGAAAAGACAGGCCGAACTAGCTGCAGAGGCCCGATCGGTCTACGGGCACTCCTCCCCCACCCCTCACCCCTCCTCCCCTCAATCTCAAGCTACCCTGGGAAGGTGCCGGCATCTCACGCGTGAAAGAGAACCAAACCCCCCCCTCCCCCCTCTCTTTCCTCACCCCTCCTTCTTCCCTTTCCATCCACCCTTCCCCTCCCCCACGCTGCACCCCAATCTGTCCCCCCCCATTCCCCCCATTTTCCCTGTCTTCCTCCGCCCCCCCCCCGCTCTTTTCTCTCCCCTCTTTCCCCCCCCTCCTCCTCCTCCCCTCCTCCCCCCCCCCCTACACCTCCCTCTCTTCCCTTGTCTCTTCCCCGTTCTCACCCATGCCTCTCCCCCGTCTTTCCCGTCTCTCCCATGCCTCTCCACGTCTCTTCCCCGTCTCTCCCCAGGCCTTCCCCCATGTCTCTTTCCCGTCTTCCCCCATGTCTCTTCCCCGTCTCTCCCCCATGCCTCTCACCCATGTCTCTTCCCCGGTCTCTCCCCCGTCTCTCCCCCATGCTCTCCCCCGTCGCTCCCCCATGCCTCTCCCCCGTCTTTCCCCGTCTCTCCCCGTCTCTCCCGTCTCTCACATGCTTCCACCTGTCTCTACCCATGCTCTTCCCCGTCTCTCCCCATGCTCTCCCCCATTGCCTCTCCCATGCTCTTCCCCGTCTCTCCCCCATTGCCCCTCCCCATGTATTTCCCCTTTCTCCCCCATGCCTCTCCCCCATGTCTCTTCCCGTCTCTCCCCGTCTCTCCCCATGCCTCTCCCACGTCTCTTCACGTCTCTCCCCATGCTCTCCCCCGTCTTCTCCCCCATGCCTCTCCCCCGTCTCTTCCCTCTCTCCCCCATGCCTACTTCCCCCGTCTCTCCCCCATGCCTTCCCCATGACTCTTCCCGTTCTTCCCCATGCCTCTCCCTCCTTGTTCTTCCCGTCTCTCCCCCATGCCTCTCCCCCGTCTTTCCCCGTCTCTCCCCCTGCCTCTCCCCCGTCTTCCCCCATGCCTCTCTCCCCATGTCTCTTCCCGTCCTCTCCCCATGCCTCTCCCCATGTCTCTTCCCGTCTCTTCACGTCTCTCCCCATGCCTCTCCCGTCTCTTCCCCGTCTTCCCCCATGCTTTCCGTCTTCCCTTGCCTCTCCCGTCTCGTCCCCGTCTCTCCCCCATGCTCTTCCCGTCTCTCCCCATGCCTCTCCCACGTCTCTCCCCATGCCTCTCCCACATGCCTCTCCCATGTTCCCTTTTTCCCCGTCTCTCCCCATGCTTCCCGTCTCTCCCATTGCCTTCTCCACGTATCTCCCCCATGCCTTCCCCCGTCTCTCCCATGCCTCTCCAGTATTCTCCATGCTTTCCCGTCTCTCCCCCATGCCTCTCCCCGTCTCTTCCCCGTCTCTCCCCATGCCTCTCCCTCGTTCTTCCGTTCTCCCCATGCCTCTCCCCCATGTCTCTTCCCCGTCTTCTCCCCATGCCTCTCCCCATGTTCGCTTCCCCGTCTCTCCCCATTGCTCTCCCATGTCTCTTCCCAGTCTCTCCCCGTCTCTCCCCCCTTGGCTCTCCCCCCCGTCTCTCCCCATACTCTCCCCGTCTTTCCCGTCTCTTCCCGTCTCTTCCCCGTTCTCCCCGTCTCTCCCCGTCTCTCCCCATGCCTTTCCCCGTCTTCTCCCCATGCCTCTTACCCGTCTCTCCCCATGCCTCTCCCCCATGCCTACTCCCCCATGTCTCTTCCCCGTCTCTCCACCCAAGTCTCCCCCTGTCTTTCCCCGTCTCTTCCCCAGGCCTATCCACCCATGTCTCTTCCCGTCTTCCCCCCATGCCTCTCCCCCGTCTTCCCATGCCTCTCCCAGTTCTTCCCCGTCCTCCCCATGCTTCTCCCCCCGTCTTCCCCCATGCCTTCCCCGTCTCTTCCGTCTCTCCCCCAGTGCCTCTCCCCAGTCTCTCACTTGCCTCTCCCCATGTCTTCTTCCCCGTCTCTCCCATGCTTCTCCCCATGTCTATTCCACGTTCTCTCCCCCATGCTCTCCCCGTCTCTTCCCGTCTCTCCCCCTGCCTCTCCCCCGTCTCTCCCCCATGCCTCTCTCACATGTCTTTCCCGTCTCTCCCCCCATGCCTTCCCCATGGTTTCTTCCGTCTCTTCCCCGTCTCTCCCCCATGCCTCGCCACCGTCTCTTCCCCGTCTCTCCCCATGCTTCCTCGCTCTTCCCATGCTCTCCCCCGTTTTCTCCCCGTTTCCACCATGCCTCTCCCCCGTCTCTTCCCGTCTCTCCCCATGCCTCTCCCCGTCTCTTCCGTCTTCCCCATGCCTTTTCCGTCTTCCCATGCCTCTCCCCGTCTCTCCCCCAGGGCCTCTTCCCCCCCCCCCAGGATCTCCCCATGCCTCTCCCGTTCTCCCCCATGCCTCTCCCACGTATCTACCCCCATTGGCCTTCCCCCGTCTTCCCATGCCTTCTCCCACGTATCTCCCAAGGTCCACACGAAGCGCAGCTCAAAACTCACTGAATAAAGCCAGCTCGGCTTCTCGCTATATCGAAATAAGTGTTTCCATTGCCGCCGTTTTGCGTAAAAACTTAATTTCGTTAGTCCAAAAAATCCACCGATTTAAGCGCCATTATCGTTTATCTGAAAAACTGTGGTTATTCGAAATTTGCGCGTTTCCATTAGATCATTTTATGATGCGCAAATTCAAATTTCGAAATTTGTGCTCAATGGAAACGAGCTCATGCTCGCCCTCGTTCTTGTCTCTACTCCACCGAGGCACACGTCCTCCGGGGCGAGGGATGCGGCGCAACGGGCTTATTTAGGACAAAATTAGCTACAGGGGTCCGCGGTAGTGGAACTGTTGTTTCCAATGCTTAAAAAAACTACTCATCGCTGTAAAAAGAAAACTAAAAGTTGTAAAATGATTCGACACAACAGCAAAAGAACGTTGAAAATACAGCAGGAGAGGACGTGCTGCAACATGCCTTCAGGTTGCTGCATTCATGTGGTGTTCAGAATAAATCGGGTACATTAATTTCCGAACTGACAAAAATTCACACGAAACATTATAGGTCGTATATCTTGCCATGTGAGTAATACGATTAGTGAGTTAATTATTTGCATAAAACCTGATAGCAAGTCAATATTTTTGTGATTTTAGGTATTGTAGGATTCTACTCGTAGAATACAACATGGTCTGGGATATATTCATGATAAAAAAGCTTAAAAGGGTTTGCATTGTTGATAACGTACGTGAATTTTTACCGGGTAAAGGATAAACAACCATGTCTTTTAATGTTTTGAGTATTAAAACATAAAACTTCTTCTTTGTAGCATCCACAAAGCTGAAAATGACTCGGGAAACGTACCTTCCTCCACTATGAATGCAGAGGGAATTTTTAGAGGCGTGGTCATGACCAAACTTAAAACTTCCGTTGGCAGCTACTTAAAGTTATTCATCATGAATTACTTTCGAAATGTAAGATTTTTCTACTTAGAATTAGTAGACTGCGTTAAATGTGATAGTTCTACAATCAACTTAAATTATCTATGTATGTTGAAATTGTTGTTTGAGTAGAAAATTGAAATGGGCTAAAGTGAATACATTGTTTTGTATGTATTATTATGATTATATTATATATTATTATCATTATTATTATTTGTTATTCAACTTAATCCAGAGCAGGGGTCAACAGGGATGCAAAGATCACAATAGTTCTTCAAATTCTGCTGCAGTCTCTCTTGGTCTCTCTTGGTCTCTCTCGGGTCTCTCTCTGGTTCTCTCTGGTCTCTCTTCTGGTCTCTCTCTGGTCTCTCTCTTGGTCTTCTCTGGGCTCTATAGGTCTCTCTCTGGTCTCTCTCTGGGCTCTCTGTGTCTCTCTCTGGTCTTTTGGTCTCTCTTGGTCTCTCTTGGTTCTCTCTGGTCTCTTTGGTCTCTCTTCTGGGCCTTCTTTCTGGTCTCTCTCTGGTCCTTCTTTTGGTCTCTCTCTGGTCCTTCTTTCTGGTATCTCTCTCTGTCTCTCTTTGGTTTCTTGCCTGTGGTCCATCTTCTGGGTTTTTACATGTAAACCAGTATAATGCAACTTAATAGGGTTTTTTCCATGTAAACCAGTATAATGCAACTTAATAGGGTTTTTTCCATGTAAACCAGTACAATGCAACTTAATAGGGATTTTTCCATGTAAACCAGTATAATGCAACTTAATGGGGATTTTTCCATGTAAACCAGTATAATGCAACTTAATGGGGATTTTTCCATGTAAACCAGTATTATGCAACTTAATAGGGATTTTTCCATGTAAACCAGTATAATGCAACTTAATAGGGATTTTTTTCCATGTAAACCAGTATAATGCAACTTAATGGGGATTTTTCCATGTAAACCAGTATTATGCAACTTAATAGGGATTTTTCCATGTAAACCAGTATAATGCAACTTAATAGGGTTTTTTTCATGTAAACCAGTATAATGCAACTTAATAGGGTTTTTACATGTAAACCAGTATAATGGAACTTAATAGGGGTTTTTACATGTAAACCAGTATAATGGAACTTAATAGGGGTTTTTACATGTAAACCAGTATAATGCAACTTAATAAGGATTTTTACATGTAAACCACTATAATGTAACCTAATAGGGGTTTTTACATGTAAACCAGTATAAAGCAACTTAATAGGGATTTGTACATGTAAACCAGTATAATGCA